AAATGGAACCACCAGCAGTGTGAGGAGACCTGAAAGTGGCACATGGCAGAGTGTGGCGATGGAGACAGCAGCAATGGGAGGCCGTACAGGGACCCATGAGACACTCTGGACCTGGCAGCAGCATGAGGAGGCGGAGGGGTACGGGGGCCCATGGCAGATTACATGGCAGATTACGGGCCTGGCAGCAGCAATGGGAGGCCCGTAATCTGCCAGCACCCTATGACAAAATGGAACCCACCAGCAGTGTGAGGAGACCTGAAAGTGGCACATGGCAGAGTGTGGCGATGGAGACAGCAGCAATGGGAGGCCGTACAGGGACCCATGAGCTGGACTCTGGACCTGGCAGCAGCATGAGGAGGGGGTACGGGGGCCCATGGCAGATTACGGGCCTGGCAGCAGCAATGGGAGGCCCGTAATCTGCCAGCACCCTATGACAAAATGGAAACCACCAGCAGCAGTGTGTGAGGAGACCTGAAAGTGGCACATGGCAGAGTGTGGCGATGGAGACAGCAGCAATGGGAGGGGAGGCCGTACAGGGACCCATGAGACTCTGGACCTGGCAGCAGCATGAGGAGGCGGTACGGGGGGCCCATGGCAGATTACGGGCCTGGCAGCAGCAGCAATGGGAGGCCCGTAATCTGCCAGCACCCTATGAAAAAAATGGAACACACCAGCAGTGTGAGGAGACCTGAAAGTGGCACATGGCAGAGTGTGGCGATGGAGACAGCAGCAATGGGAGGCCGTACAGGGGGACCCATGACAGACTCTGGACCTGGCAGCAGCATGAGAGGGGCGGTACGGGGGCCCATGGCAGATTACGGGCCTGGCAGCAGCAGCAGCAATGGGAGGCCCGTAATCTGCCAGCACCCTATGACAAAAAAAAATGGAACCAGCAGTGTGAGGAGACCTGAAAGTGGCACATGGCAGAGTGTGGCGATGGAGACAGCAGCAATGGGAGGCCGTACAGGGACCCATGAGACACTCTGGACCTGGCAGCAGCATGAGGAGGCGGTACAGGGGCCCATGGCAGATTACGGGCCTGGCAGCAGCAATGGGAGGCCCGTAATCTGCCAGCACCCTATGACCTAAAAAATGGAACACACCAGCAGTGTGTGAGGAGACCTGAAAGTGGCACATGGCAGAGTGTGGCGATGGAGACAGCAGCAATGGGAGGCCGTACAGGGACCCATGAGACACTCTGGACCTGGCAGCAGCATGAGGAGGCGGTACAGGGGCCCATGGCAGATTACGGGCCTGGCAGCAGCAGCAATGGGAGGCCCGTAATCTGCCAGCACCCTATGACAAAATGGAACACACACAGCAGCAGTGTGAGGAGACCTGAAAGTGGCAAGTGGCACATGGCAGAGTGTGGCGATGGAGACAGCAGCAATGGGAGGCCGTACAGGGACCCATGAGACACTCTGGGACCTGGCAGCAGCATGAGGAGGGCGGTACAGGGGCCCATGGCAGATTACGGGCCTGGGCAGAGGAGGCGGTACGGGGGCCCATGGCAGATTACGGGCCTGGCAGCAGCAATGGGAGGCCCGTAATCTGCCAGCACCCTATGACAAAATGGAACCCACCAGCAGTGTGTGTGAGGAGACCTGAAAGTGGCACATGGCAGAGTGTGGCGATGGAGACAGCAGCAATGGGAGAGGCCGTACAGGGACCCATGAGACACTCTGGACCTGGCAGCAGGCATGAGGAGGGCGGTAGGGGGGCCATGGCAGATTACGGGCCTGGGCAGCATGAGGAGTCGGTACGGGGGCCCATGGCAGATTACGGGGGCTGGCAGCAGCAATGGGAGGCCCGTAATCTGCCAGCACCCTATGACAAAATGGAAACCCACCAGCAGTGTGAGGAGAGACCTGAAAGTGGCACATGGCAGAGTGTGGCGATGGAGACAGCAGCAATGGGAGGCCGTACAGGGACCCATGAGACACACTCTGACCTGGCAGCAGCATGAGGAGGGCGGTACGGGGGCCCATGGCAGATTACGGGCCTGGCAGCAGCAATGGGAGGCCCGTAATCTGCCAGCACCCTATGACAAAATGGAACCCACCAGCAGTGTGAGGAGACCTGAAAGTGGCACATGGCAGAGTGTGGCGATGGAGACAGCAGCAATGGGGAGGCCGTACAGGGACCCATGAGACACTCTGGACCTGGCAGCAGCATGAGGAGGCGGTACAGGGGCCCATGACAGATTACGGGCCTGGCAGCAGGCGGTACGGGGGCCCATGGCAGATTACGGGCCTGGCAGCAGCAATGGGAGGCCCGTAATCTGCCAGCACCCTATGACAAAATGGAACCACCAGCAGTGTGAGGAGACCTGAAAGTGGCACATGGCAGAGTGTGGCGATGGAGACAGCAGCAATGGGAGGCCGTACAGGGACCCATGAGAGACTCTGGACCTGGCAGCAGCAGCATGAGGAGGCGGTACGGGGGCCCATGGCAGATTACGGGGCCTGGCAGCAGCAATGGGAGGCCCGTAATCTGCCAGCACCCTATGACAAAATGGAACACCCACCAGCAGTGTGAGGAGACCTGAAAGTGGCACATGGCAGAGTGTGGCGATGGAGACAGCAGTGTGGCGTACAGGGACCCATGAGACAGCAGCAATGGGAGGCCGTACAGGGACCCATGAGACAGATTGGACCTGGCAGCAGCATGAGGAGGCGGTACGGGGGCCCATGGCAGATTACGGGCCTGGCAGCAGCAATGGGAGGCCCGTAATCTGCCAGCACCCTATGACAAAATGGAACCCACCAGCAGTGTGAGGAGACCTGAAAGTGGCACATGGCAGAGTGTGGCGATGGAGACAGCAGCAATGGGAGGCCGTACAGGGACCCATGAGACACTCTGGACCTGGCAGCAGCACTGAGGGAGGCGGTACAGGGGCCCATGACAGATACGGCAGGGAGCAGCAGCATGAGGAGGTCGGTACGGGGGCCCATGGCAGATTACGGGCCTGGCAGCAGCAATGGGAGGCCCGTAATCTGCCAGCACCCTATGACAAAATGGAAACCACCAGCAGTGTGAGGAGACCTGAAAGTGGCACATGGCAGGTGTGTGTGGCGATGGAGACAGCAGCAATGGGAGGCCGTACAGGGACCCATGAGAGACTCTGGGACCTGGCAGCAGCATGAGGAGGGGGGGTACGGGGCCCATGGCAGAGATTACGGGCCTGGCAGCAGCAATGGGAGGCCCGTAATCTGCCAGCACCCTATGACAAAATGGAACCCACCAGCAGTGTGAGGAGACCTGAAAGTGGCACATGGCAGAGAGTGTGGCGATGGAGACAGCAGCAATGGGAGGCCGTACAGGGACCCATGAGACACTCTGGACCTGGCAGCAGCATGAGGAGGCAGGTACAGGGGCCCATGGCAGATTACGGGCCTGGCAGCAGCAGCAATGGGAGGCCCGTAATCTGCCAGCACCCTATGACAAAATGGAACCCACCAGCAGTGTGAGGAGACCTGAAAGTGGCACATGGCAGAGTGTGGCGATGGAGACAGCAGCAATGGGAGGCCGTACAGGGACCCCATGAGCACACTCTGGACCTGGCAGCAGCATGAGGAGGAGCATGGGAGGGCGGTACGGGGGCCCATGGCAGATTACGGGCCTGGCAGCAGCAATGGGAGGCCCGTAATCTGCCAGCACCCTATGACAAAATGGAACCACACCAGCAGTGTGAGGAGACCTGAAAGTGGCACATGGCAGAGTGTGGCGATGGAGACAGCAGCAATGGGAGGCCGTACAGGGACCCATGAGACACTCTGGACCTGGCAGCAGCATGAGGAGGGCGGTACGGGGGCCCATGGCAGATTACGGGCCTGGCAGCAGCAATGGGAGGCCCGTAATCTGCCAGCACCCTATGACAAAAAATGGAAACACCAGCAGTGTGAGGAGACCTGAAAGTGGCACATGGCAGAGTGTGGCGATGGAGACAGCAGCAATGGAGGCCGTACAGGGCCGTACAGGGACCCATGACACTACTGGACCTGGCAGCAGCATGAGGAGGCGGTACGGGGGGGCCCATGGCAGATTACGGGCCTGGCAGCAGCAATGGGAGGCCCGTAATCTGCCAGCACCCTATGACAAAATGGAACCCACCAGCAGTGTGAGGAGACCTGAAAGTGGCACATGGCAGAGTGTGGCGATGGATGGAGACAGCAGCAATGGGAGGCCGTACAGGGACCCATGAGAGACTCTGGACCTGGCAGCAGCATGAGGAGGCGGTACGGGGGCCCATGGCAGATTACGGGCCTGGCAGCAGCAATGGGAGGCCCGTAATCTGCCAGCACCCTATGACAAAAAATGGAAACCACCAGCAGTGTGAGGAGACCTGAAAGTGGCACATGGCAGAGTGTGGCGATGGAGACAGCAGCAATGGGAGGCCGTACAGGGACCCATGACACTCTGGACCTGGCAGCAGCATGAGGAGGCGGTACAGGGGCCCATGGCAGATTACGGGCCTGGCAGCAGCAATGGGAGGCCCGTAATCTGCCCAGACAAAATGGAACACCCTATGACAAAATGGAACCCACCAGCAGTGTGAGGAGACCTGAAAGTGGCACATGGCAGAGTGTGGCGATGGAGACAGCAGCAATGGGAGGGGCCGTACAGGGACCCATGAGGGGACTCTGGACCTGGCAGCAGCAGCATGAGGAGGCAGGGGCCCATGACAGATTACGGGCCTGGCAGCAGCATGAGGAGCGGTACGGGGGCCCATGGCAGATTACGGGCCTGGCAGCAGCAATGGGAGGCCCGTAATCTGCCAGCACCCTATGACAAAATGGAACCCACCAGCAGTGTGAGGAGACCTGAAAGTGGCACATGGCAGAGTGTGGCGATGGAGACAGCAGCAATGGGAGGCCGTACAGGGACCCATGAGACACTCTGGACCTGGCAGCAGCATGAGGAGGCGGGTACAGGGGCCCATGACAGATTACGGGGGCATGAGGAGCGGTACGGGGGCCCATGGCAGATTACGGGCCTGGCAGCAGCAATGGGAGGCCCGTAATCTGCCAGCACCCTATGACAAAATGGAACACACCAGCAGTGTGAGGGAGACCTGAAAGTGGCACATGCAGCAGAGTGTGGCGATGGAGACAGCAGCAATGGGAGGCCGTACAGGGACCCATGACACACCTCTGGACCTGGCAGCAGATGAGGACTCATGGACCTACTGGGCATGGGCAGCAGCATGAGGAGGCCGGTACAGGGGCCCATGACAGGGGGCCTGGCAGCAGCATGAGGAGGCGGTACGGGGGCCCATGGCAGATTACGGGCCTGGCAGCAGCAATGGGAGGCCCGTAATCTGCCAGCACCCTATGACAAAATGGAACCCACCAGCAGTGTGAGGAGACCTGAAAGTGGCACATGGCAGAGTGTGGCGATGGAGACAGCAGCAATGGGAGGCCGTACAGGGACCCATGAGACACTCTGGACCTGGCAGCAGCATGAGGAGGCGGTACAGGGGCCCATGACAGATTACGGGCCTGGGCAGCAGCATGAGGAGGCGGTACGGGGGCCCATGGCAGATTACGGGCCTGGCAGCAGCAGCAATGGGAGGCCCGTAATCTGCCAGCACCCTATGACAAAATGAAACCCACCAGCAGTGTGAGGAGACCTGACCTGAAAGTGGCACATGGCAGAGTGTGGCGATGGAGACAGCAGCAATGGGAGGCCGTACAGGGACCCATGAGACACTCTGGACCTGGCAGCAGCATGAGGAGGCGGTACGGGGGCCCATGGCAGATTACGGGCCTGGCAGCAGCAATGGGAGGCCCGTAATCTGCCAGCATGGGAGGCCCCCTATGCACCCATGACAAAATGGAACACCACCAGCAGTGTGAGGAGACCTGAAAGTGGCACATGGCAGAGTGTGGCGATGGAGACAGCAGCATGGGAATGGGAGGCCGTACAGGGACCCATGAGACACTCTGGACCTGGCAGCAGCAGATGAGGAGGCGGTACGGGGGCCCATGGCAGATTACGGGCCTGGCAGCAGCAATGGGAGGCCCGTAATCTGCCAGCACCCTATGACAAAATGGAACACACCAGCAGTGTGAGGAGACCTGAAAGTGGCACATGGCAGAGTGTGGCGATGGAGACAGCAGCAATGGGAGGCCGTACAGGGACCCATGAGACACTCTGGACCTGGCAGCAGCATGAGGAGGCGGTACGGGGGCCCATGGCAGATTACGGGGCTGGCAGCAGCAGCAATGGGAGGCCCGTAATCTGCCAGCACCCTATGACAAAAATGGAACCCACCAGCAGTGTGAGGAGACCTGAAAGTGGCACATGGCAGAGTGTGGCGATGGAGACAGCAGCAATGGGAGGCCGTACAGGGACCCATGAGACACTCTGGACCTGGCAGCAGCATGAGGAGGCGGTACGGGGGCCCATGGCAGATTACGGGCCTGGCAGCAGCAATGGGAGGCCCGTAATCTGCCAGCACCCTATGACAAAATGGAACCCACCAGCAGTGTGAGGAGACCTGAAAGTGGCACATGGCAGAGTGTGGCGATGGAGACAGCAGCAATGGGAGGCCGTACAGACCCCCATGAGACACTCTGGACCTGGCAGCAGCATGAGGAGGCGGTACAGGGGCCCATGGCAGATTACGGGCCTGGCAGCAGCAATGGGAGAGGCCCGTAGATTCGGGCCTGGCAGCAGCAATGGGACCGTAATCTGCCAGCACCCTATGACAAAATGGAACCCAGCAGCAGTGTGAGGAGACCTGAAAGTGGCACATGGCAGAGAGTGTGGCGATGGAGACAGCAGCAATGGGAGGCCGTACAGGGACCCATGAGACACTCTGGACCTGGCAGCAGCATGAGGATGAGGAGGCGGTACAGGGGGGCCCATGGCAGATTACGGGCCTGGCAGCAGCAATGGGAGGCCCGTAATCTGCCAGCACCCTATGACAAAATGGAACCCACCAGCAGTGTGAGGAGACCTGAAAGTGGCACATGGCAGAGTGTGTGATGGAGACAGCAGCAATGGGAGGCCGTACAGGGACCCATGAGACACTCTGGGCTGGCTGGCAGCAGCATGAGGGAGGTGGTACAGGGGGACAGATTATGGGGGGGCCTGGCAGCATGGCATGAGGAGTCGGTACGGGGGCCCATGGCAGATTACGGGCCTGGCAGCAGCAATGGGAGGCCCGTAATCTGCCAGCACCCTATGACAAAATGGAACCACCAGCAGTGTGAGGAGACCTGAAAGTGGCACATGGCAGAGTGTGTGGCGATGGAGACAGCAGCAATGGGAGGCCGTACAGGGACCCATGAGACACTCTGGACCTGGCAGCAGCATGAGGAGGAGGGTCGGTACGGGGGCCCATGGCAGATACGGGGCCTGGCAGCAGCAATGGGAGGCCCGTAATCTGCCAGCACCCTATGACAAAATGGAACCCACCAGCAGTGTGAGGAGACCTGAAAGTGGCACATGGCAGAGTGTGGCGATGGAGACAGCAGCAATGGGAGGCCGTACAGGGACCCATGAGAGACTCTGGACCTGGCAGCAGCATGAGGGCGGTACAGGGGCCCATGGACAGATTAGGGGCCTGGCAGCAGCATGAGGAGTCGGTACGGGGGCCCATGGCAGATTACGGGCCTGGCAGCAGCAATGGGAGGCCCGTAATCTGCCAGCACCCTATGACAAAATGGAACCCACCAGCAGCAGTGTGAGGAGACCTGAAAGTGGCACATGGCAGAGTGTGGCGATGGAGACAGCAGCAATGGGAGGCCGTACAGGGGACCCATGAGACACTCTGGACCTGGCAGCAGCATGAGGAGGGGGGTACAGGGGCCCATGACAGATTACGGGCCTGGCAGCAGCATGAGGAGGCGGTACGGGGGCCCATGGCAGATTAGGGGCCTGGCAGCAGCAATGGGAGGCCCGTAATCTGCCAGCACCCTATGACAAAATGGAACCCACCAGCAGTGTGAGGAGACCTGAAAGTGGCACATGGCAGAGTGTGGCGATGGAGACAGCAGCAATGGGAGGCCGTACAGGGACCCATGAGAGACACTCTGGACCTGGCAGCAGCATGAGGAGGCGGTACAGGGGCCCATGACAGATTACGGGCCTGGCAGCAGCATGAGGAGGCGGTGGGGGGCCCATGGCAGATTACGGGCCTGGCAGCAGCAATGGGAGGCCCGTAATCTGCCAGCACCCTATGACAAAATGGAAACCACCAGCAGTGTGAGGAGACCTGAAAGTGGCACATGGCAGAGTGTGGCGATGGAGACAGCAGCAATGGGAGGCCGTACAGGGACCCATGAGACACTCTGGACCTGGCAGCAGCATGAGGAGGCGGTACAGGGGCCCATGGCAGATTACGGGCCTGGCAGCAGCAATGGGAGGCCCGTAATCTGCCAGCACCCTATGACAAAATGGAACCCACCAGCAGTGTGAGGAGACCTGAAAGTGGCACATGGCAGAGTGTGGCGATGGAGACAGCAGCAATGGGAGGCCGTACAGGGACCCATGAGACACTCTGGACCTGGCAGCAGCATGAGGAGGCGGTACAGGGGCCATGACAGATTACAGGATTACGGGCTGGCAGCAGGCAGCAGCATGAGGAGGCGGTACGGGGGCCCATGGCAGATTAGGGCCTGGCAGCAGCAATGGGAGGCCCGTAATCTGCCAGCACCCTATGAAAAATGGAACCCACCAGCAGTGTGAGGAGACCTGACCTGAAAGTGGCACATGGCAGAGTGTGGCGATGGAGACAGCAGCAATGGGAGGCCGTACAGGGACCCATGAGACACTCTGGACCTGGCAGCAGCAGCAAGGAGGCGGTACAGGGGGCCCATGACAGGCGGCCTGGCAGCAGCATGAGGAGTCGGTACGGGGGCCCATGGCAGATTACGGGCCTGGCAGCAGCAATGGGAGGCCCGTAATCTGCCAGCACCCTATGACAAAATGGAACCCACCAGCAGTGTGAGGAGACCTGAAAGTGGCACATGCAGAGTGTGGCGATGGAGACAGCAGCAATGGGAGGCCGTACAGGGGGACCCATGAGACACTCTGGACCTGGCAGCAGCATGAGGAGGCGGTACAGGGGCCCATGACAGATTACGGGCCTGGGCAGGCATGAGGATTACGGGGGCCCATGGCAGATTACGGGCCTGGCAGCAGCAATGGGAGGCCCGTAATCTGCCAGCACCCTATGACAAAATGGAACCCACCAGCAGTGTGAGGAGACCTGAAAGTGGCACATGGCAGAGTGTGGCGATGGAGACAGCAGCAATGGGAGGCCGTACAGGGACCCATGAGACACTCTTGGACCTGGCAGCAGCATGAGGAGGCGGAGGCGGTACAGGGGCCCATGGCAGATTACGGGCCTGGCAGCAGCAATGGGAGGCCCGTAATCTGCCAGCACCCTATGACAAAATGGAACCCACCAGCAGCAGTGTGAGGAGACCTGAAAGTGGCACATGGCAGAGTGTGGCGATGGAGACAGCAGCAATGGGAGGCCGTACAGGGACCATGAGACACTCTGGACCTGTGCAGCATGAGGAGGAGGCGGTAAAGGGCCATGGCATGGCAGAGTGGCGAAGCGTAAGCAGCTTAAATTGAAGGCCATACAGAGGCCTATGGAACCTGATAATAACATGTTTGGGGCATGATTCATGGCGGATTTAGTCAGTTGTGTCAGGAACTGGTGGTTTGAAATCCAGACTAATCCACGCCTGATTCATTTTCACAAACGTGAGTCTCTCCACACTTTTGGGTGGACAGTCGTGTCCTCCGCGGAGTTACAATACCTCCTGCCGCACTAAACACGCGCTCCGATGCCACGCTACTGGCCGGGCATGACAGCCTTTCAAGGGCAAATTCAGCTAGTTGGGGCCAAAGGTCAAGTTTCGTTGCCCAGTAGTCAAGGGGATTGTCTACCTCGGTTGGCAGGGTGCTGTCCAAGTAGGCCCAAGCCTGTTGTTTGAGGTCCTGCTCCAGGTCCACCTGATGCTGCTGCTGCTGCTGCGGCTGGTTAGTAGTTTCCTCACTGCGCTGGTGAAGAAAGCTACTCATCATCGACTGCAGACTGAGGCAGCCGCTGCTGGTGGAGCTGCCATGCTGCTCCTACCACCCCACCCCTCCCCTGCTGCCATGGCAGCGGAACGCGAGCGCACAGGGCCCACAGTGTCTGAGGATGGACGTTGGCGCAGAAAGGCAGAGACCAACTGACTACATAGGTGGTTTTTATAGTACGTTATTTTGGCCTCCCTCTCAGCAGGTGTGAAAAAGGCCACCATTTTTGAACGGTAGCGAGGGTCCAACAAGGTGGACAGCCAAAAGTCATCCCTCTGTCTGATGGTTATTATTCGGCTGTCGCTACGCAAGCAAACCGAGCATGCTATGGGCCATTTGTGCCAAGGAATGCGAGGGACTCCCTGCCTCCATCTCCACAGCATACTGCCACGGTGCGTCTGGGTCCTCTGTCTCCTCCTCCTCCTCTACCAGATGCTCCTGCTCCTCCACTCCTGTCCGCTGAGTGGAAAAACCACCCATTTCACTCAATAATTCCTGAGCACCAATGTCCTCCTCTACTCCTCCTCTTCTTCCTGTCCTGCCCCCACAGGGGTCATGTGGCGTTGAGATCTGTGCGCCACGTCTACCGCACCCTGACCAGCCATTGTTAACAGCATTTGTTCCAGGACGTGCAACAGAGGAATGACGTCGTTCATCCCATAGTCCTGCCGACTCACGAATAGCGTGGCCTCCTCAAAGGGCCTGAGCAAGCGGCAGGTGTCACGCATGAGCTGCCAATGGCTGACATCTAAGTTACACAGGGGGGAGTACCTTTATCCGCTTGTAACATCAGGAAAATCGGTGATGGCCTTTCGCTGTTCGTAAAGGCGGTCTAACATATGTAGGGTTGAATTCCACCTTGTTGCAACGTCGCAGATCAGGCGATGCTGTGAATTCCGTTCTGCCGCTGCAGCTCAAGGAGGAGGGTGTGCTTTGCGGTGTAGGAATGGCTGAAATGCATGCAAAGTTTACGTGACATTTTAAGGATGTCTTGCAGTGGGATGGTGGATTTTAGGAACCGCTTGACAACCAGATTGAACACGTGAGCCATGATGGCGCATGGCACAACCTTCCTTGACGCAGAGCAGACACCATGTTCTTTCCGTTGTCGGTCAACATGGTTCCGATTTTCAGTTTGCGCGGAGACAGCCATCTGTCGATTTCTCTGTTCATTACACTCAGAAGTTCCTCCCCTGTGTGACTACGTTCGCCAAGGCATACCAGGTGCAGCACAGCGTGACACCGTTGCGCCCTGCACATGTGATATGCCGGTCGGGTAATGGGACTTGGCACGGGGGGGTGGCGGCTGAGGACACGGCGGAAGAAGAGGTGGTAGAGGCGGACATCTTTTGTGGACCAAGGACGTGCAAACGTGGAGGCAAAAGCGGCGTGACCTGTCCAAGTTGCTGGTGCGGCTGTGCCGGCACCACGTTCACCCAGTGGGCCGTAAATGACATGTACTGTCCCTGACCGTAGTTACAGCTCCACACGTCGGCGCTGCCGTGCACTTTGGCAGAGACCGACATGCTCAAAGACTGGCCCACCATCTCTTCTACATGTGAATGCAGGGCTGGCACTGCCTTTTTGGCGAAAAGAAATGCCGGCTTGGCACTCTCCACCGCGGCGCGGCACAAGCCATCATTTCTCGGAAAGGTGCTGAGTCCACCACTTGGAAAGGGAGGGACTGCAGCACCAGCAACTTGGACAGGAGGACGTTCAGCTTTTGCACCGTCGGGTGCGTGCTCGCTCGCAAACTGTTGTCTCTTGGAAACGGATTCCAAGAAAGACTGCTGACGGAATCCGTGAAGAGGAGTAGCAGGAGAAGGAGCATCTGAACGAGCGGAAGATGCCAACGAGCGACAACTCCCCTCAGCAGAGGTGTTGGAGCCTTGACTGGCTGATAGAGGGCGATTGACGTGACGTCGGAGCAAGTGACGGAGCAGGTAACGGAGCGGGTGATGGAGCGGGGGCTGGGGCAGGCAGAACCGCCGTATCTTTATCACGGTTTTCCCAGGCCACCGAATGGCGACGCTGCATATGCTGACGCAACGCTGTGTCCCAACATGGGCCCCCTGGCCACGCTTGACTTTCTGGCCACATAGTCGACATACGGCTACGTTTACTTCCTCGGGCGGCTTGACGAAAAATTGCCACACCGCCGAGTAGGAAACTTTGCCCCCGTACTCCTCACTGGCTGACTGCTACTTCCTCCGTGCACACCGGCACCACTACTGGCCGTGGTGGTAGGCTGCAGTGGAGCTGGTGCTCTACTCCGTGGCCGTTTGCCTCCACTGACACTGCTGCGACCCTGCTGCCTCCTGGGCAACCCACCGACTGTTTTGCTCGCTGCCAAGCTGGCACCCTCTTCTCCTGATGATGCGGAAGCAATAGCCTGATGACGACGAGGCTGCCAAGTGCGATCAGCCTCATCATCATCAATTAGGGTCTCCGCCTCACTACTAGCCCCCTCGGCTGCGTGTGGGTCAGGAGACAGACCTGTCTCTAGACCGGCTACCGAGCCACTCTCCTCGCCAGTACTTCTTCGCCTGGCTGCTGAAGAGGCGGATGTCTCTCCCCCCGTTCCTGACCGCCCTCTGTTAGCTCTTCCTCACTGTACAGTGGGGCTGAGCCCACAGCATGCGATACTTCGCTTGGTGAGGGAACACCAAAGGACAGGGGCAGGTAGAGGACACGTGATTTCAGTGGGCTTGCTCCCGGGCCATGCCAACTAACGGTTGTGTGTCTGACGTACCC